AAATTTTTTTGTTATACGCATATCAGTTTATCTTTTAAATTATGTTTTCTTATAAACTATTTTAAAAAATTGTTTTTAGGTATTTGACCTACCTAACTCAAAAAGGTCAATGACGACTCCTAAAATATTTTTTTAAATCAAAATTATTTATTTATTCATTTTATTTTTCCGCTAAGTAAAAATTTCGTACCCGGACAAAAACCGGTTACGACAGTGTGTTCGTCTATCTGCTCCAAAATTCTCTGGAATGGTTCTCTGATTGGGTCCTTTACTCCCTCCCGAGGAATCAAACAAGGAGATCTTTATCTCCGTACTTGTTTGTGCTCTGTATTAAACGATTAGCCCAATCTATTCAGGTTGAGATGTCGGTAGGAAATCGTTTCCCACTTCAGCGTCTAACCCAGGAATTTCTCACATTTTCTTTGCAGATGATATGGTTCTTTGCAGATGATATGGTTCTTTTTGCTGAGGCTTCAATGGAAGAAGTTGAGGTAATTCGGTCTACGCTTAAAAACTTTTGTGATGCTTCTGGTTAAAAGGTGAGCATTCCCTAGACTAATATTTTTTTTTCACTAGGAATGTGTCTACTACTTTAAAAGATCATATTAGTTTTGCTTTTCGGTTTGAGGCGATAAACTTGGGTAAATACCTTGAGTCCCTTCATTACATAATTATAAACACCCGTTTTTGTTCAAGTTTAAAAAATATTATTTATTATTATTACTATTATTTATTATTTTGCAGTTTTTTTTGTTCAACCCCACCACTCCACAAAACCCCTAAAAACAAGAAACATTATTAACTATCCAGTCCCTTGCTTTTCTCCTTCTATCATGCCAGCCACTATTAGAGGTGTACAAAAAATCTGAATATCCGATTTTGTGCAAAAAATATCTGGAATCGGATTTGGGAAAAATCGTTTTTTTAAACCGGATCGGATATTTTAAAACCGGATAGTATAACCGGTTTGGGAAAAAATTGGACGACCGAATTTTTTATCGGATTAAAAACTGGTTTGAAAAAAACCGAATAAAAAACAGGTTTTTTATCTGAAAAAAGATCCGGTATGGGGTTTAAAAAACTAGTTTTGAAGGATTATTTGGATGGAGCGGATTTTTTACTGGATTTTTAACCGAATTAAAAATTGGTTTTTGAAAAAAACCGATTTTTTCAAACCGAAACCGGTTACATCATCCGGCCTTTCAAACCGGTTAGAATCCGAACCAATTTTTTTCAAACCGAAACCGGTTACACCATCCGGCCTTTCAAACCGGTTAGAATCCGAACCGATTTTTTTAAAATCTGATTTTTTAACTAGGTGAAAAAATCGGATCGATTTTTATCTGATCCGGATCGGATTTAAATATGACTTTGTGCATCCCTAGCCACTACTCGCATTAACTACAAAACAAATCCCATTTTCTTTCTGCTTTTTAAGGGGCCACAAGAAATTGAAAAAGGGGGGTAACCGATACACATAGAGGGGAACAAGCCATTGATTTGGGCAAAGGGGGTTCAACGGCAGTGACAGCAATATTGATCAACTGCCAGAAGCTGGTAGTAGCAAATGTTGGCGATTCCCGGCTGTGATATGTAAGAATGGTGGGGCTAAACAGCTTTCTGTTGATCATGAGCCTGCTTCCGAAAGGGAGAGCATCGGAATTAGAGGTGGATTTGTTTCAAACTTTCCAGGGGACGTCACTCATGTTGACGGTCAGTTAGCGGTGGCCAGGGCATTTGGTGACAAGAATTTAAAGAAACATCTTACGTCGGAGCCGGACTTGATCACTGAAATGATCAACGATGATACCGAGCTCATAATATTGGCAAATGACGGTTTATGGAAGGTTATGTCGAACCAAGAAGCTGTTGATGCTATCAAAGGTAATTAAGGATGCTCGGTCTGCTGCAAAGCACCTGAGGAAGCTGTTAATATGAACAGCAAGGATGACATCACCGTTATAGTTGTAAGATTTCAGTGATCTGTAAGTGTGTCAACTTCTCTTGTTGAACCTTTTTCGTGTTCGATAGAATGTTATGCTTATGTTGTGTCGGTATCCGAAGCTTTCTATACATAAGCAAACTGTAATGAAGCTGTCTAATTCCCGATGAAACTAATGAAGCTGTCTAAGAACTAAGGAAACTAAAGTTGACTTTTAATCATTTATCTAAGCTTATGGTTTCAGTGGTTCAGATAGGATATGTATTCTGCCATGAAATTTATTAATTTGTATTGAACAATTGGAGTTTCCCTCGGATATGTAAAAAGTTGGTTCTCTTTTTTAATTTTAGCATTTTTTTTCTTATTATTTTTATTTTATTTTATTACTTTTAAAATTTAACCTTTTTTTCCTTTGATTCATTTAATATTATATATATATATATATTTTCTTTTATTTATTTAATATTTATTTATTATTTCTTATTTAACATTTTCGACTTTTTAAATATATTTTCAATCGATCAAAGGTAATTAGTTTGAATTGAATTTTTAAATTTCGATTTAAATTTTAAATTTCGCAATTAAGACAATCGACGAATTAATTGGTACCGAAAGGGCAGTACAAGGGTGTTAATCTTTTCTTGACTGTAATCGACTCCCGAACCCTACACATTTCTGGTAAAACGCAGATCAAGTAAGATGATGTCCGATCAGCTTAAATATTTTTTTTAAATGATTGATGGCGACTCTAAACCTATTTATTCACGTCGAAACTCAATTCCGGGTCCAATCGAAAGACGGTCGCTACAATAATCGTATGTATTCGCTTCGAATCACTATCTAACCCAAATTGTTCGAGATTGCTTAAATGGTTGGAAGGTACGGACCTCATCGTTGGCTAGTCCTATAATGATTGCGGATATGGTAGATCGGTATGGCAACTGAAAATGGGATCGTTTTTAGCATCTCTTACCAACTCATATTCTCCTTCGAATCGCTGCTAAGAAGGGTCCGTTACAAACCATGTCTTGTGATTCTATTGGCTGGTTAAGTAGGGGTGATTTGCATTTCTCTTTAAAGTCAGCCTATGGAATACTTTCTCGTAATGACAGTGAAGCTTTAGACCCCATTTGGGGTTTAATTCATAAGTATCGAGGGATTCACCGCATAAAGTTGTTCTTATGGTTTTCTTGTCGTGGTAGATTGATGACTAATACGGAGAGAGTTTGGCGCCATTTCACCTCGGATGCTAGCTGTCCTGTTTGTTTCCATCCTAGTGAGGATATTGACCATATTTTTAAGCATTGCTCGATAGCTTTATCGATTTAGTTCGTTCTGATCAAAAGGGAACGTCTTGATGATTTTCTCTCCATGGAGATGAAAGATTGGATGATGATGAATCTTTCAGGACTCAGCGATTTTGTTCGTGATATTAACAATTGGGATATCCTCTTTGGTATAATTTTATGGAACCTTTGGTTGCATCGCAATTCCATTGTTTTTGACTCTTTTCCAGGTGACTCTCGCCAATTATTAGAGTGTTGCATGTTTTTGAAGGATGCTACTTGCAAAGCACTTTCTGTTGAAGCAAACAAGAAAGCTGCTCCCACTGTTTTGGCTCGAAGGGTTCGCGTGGCAGGGGCGGATTTTATAGTTGCCCTAGGTATCACAGGCAATCCCTTAAAAGTATCTACTTAGTGTTAATTTTTTTTTTATTTTTTTAATTAATACAAATGTCATCCCTAATATTGTATGTAACTGTTTTTTTTATGCGGTAGTGTCATCAGAAATTCCGAGGGTGTTTGGGTTCATGGTTTCTCGAAATTTATCGACATTTGTTCACTTGTGGAAGCTGAACATTGGGGAATTTTGATTGGTCTCTCATTTGCTTGGGAGCTCGGTTTTAATCAAGTGATTATAGAATTTGATTGTCTGGATACTCATCGGATGATTAACCAGTACAAGAATGATTTTGCCCAACATACGATCTTAGCTCATATCTCGGTGAAGTTACAGAAGAATTGGAGTTTTTATCTTCAACATGAAGAGTCTATTGGAACCCATGAAATCCTAAAAGATCCAGCTGACTTTCTCTCCTTTATTCACAAAATAATAATAATAATAATAATAATAATAATAATAATAATAATAGTGAAATTTAATCGTTAAATTTAATTGGTAATGGAATTAACATAACCCGCGAAAGTGACGTGTTAAAAAAGTTAGCTTAGACTTATAAATGTGAATGAAGTACAGTCTGGTGATTTTAGTAAGTTTTATCTTGCGATAGACTTAATATACCGTTAAGAAAAGACGTTATTGATTTTGTTATTATTTTTTAATAAATTCGTTAAAAAATTACCTAAAACATTATTATTTACATCTAAAACATTAACGTTTTTAATATTTCCGTTAAAGTGTCAAATAATAATAAAATCAATAAAAAAAAATAATATTTTAAATAAAACTTTACTAGATATATTAACAAAACCGATAAAACACTTAATAATAACAAAATAAATAAAAATAATAATGTTTTAAATAATTTTTTATCAAATTTATTAAAAAATTAATAATAAAACTGATAGTATATTTATTTAATTATATATTAAGATTACCGTACGTTACACTTATACGTGATTTTACCATACCCACCACGTACTCCATTTTCACTGCTAGCCAAACGGTCAAACCCCACAAAAATAAAACCGCTCCTTTAACCCAAAAATAAAATTAAAAAAACCGCTCTCTTTTCCTCTCTGTAACGCATGATTGACGAGAAAACTCTCATCTCCCTTCGTGGCATTTTCTAATTAGTCCATTTCGTTTTGTCGGGACTCCTATCGACACCAACCAGTAAACAAAACAACTGTCGTCTTTCCTTCGGTAGGAAAAAAAGAGAGAAGAAAAAGCAACTTTGATTTTTGTTTTCTCTCTCTGAACTGTGTTTTTCATCTTCTTTATACGAAATTCTCATATTTTGTTGTAATTTCTCTCTTTTGTGTACGAGACTTTCATCTCCGTATTTAACAATTCATGATCTTCCGATCCAATGTAGGTTTTATCATTAACTCTGGGTTTTTTTTGCCGAGTTTGACCCACCCTATTGAGTCACTGTGTTGGGACTTCTTTCTGTTGTTGGAGAAACTAATGTTGGAGGCAATGGAGAGTTCCGTAAACGGCTGATTTATCTCAGTTACAGAGTTGCGGTGACAGTGGCGAAGAAGAGTTCTCGGTGTTGCCACGTCATACCAAAGTGGTTGTTACCGGGAATAACCGTACTAAATCGGTTCTCGTTGGTCTTCACGGCGTGGTCAAGAAGGCTGTCGGACTTGGCGGGTGGCATTGGCTGGTAATTGTTTTGGAATTGTTTTTTTTAAGCTTTGGCCGGAAATTGGGTGTTTGCGGTTTGATCTGGAAATTGGCTCATAATGTTTATATTATCAAGATTAAGTCAAGTAAATTCTAAATTTATTTCTTTTGAAAGGTAATGTGGATTCAATTTGAAGTTTTCAATTATCGAGTAAACCTTTTTGTTCATTCCATTCTTCATATTTGTTTTGATTGATCTTGCTTTGAATCCTTTTTTCTCTGTAACACAATTGAATGTCCTGTTCTATACGATATATGTATATATTTTTTACTAAAACTGTAAATTTGGAAATTTCTTGTCTAAATTTTCTTGAATTTGATCCGTCTTATTTTATCAAATAAAAAACAAATTTTCACTGGTCACAAGTTGCAAACTTGAGGTTTTCGAGGTGGGTTTTGAATGGATGTAAGTGTTACCCTTTGGATCTGGAATTTTCAAGTGTTCTTGTTAATGTATGGTTGTTATTCTGGATTTTTACAATGAATTTTGAGTTTTCGAGAATTTTTTAGAAAAATCCCTACTCTTTTTGTTCTTTGTTTCCCTTGCAACTTTCATTTGTGAATCACATGGATTAATATGCTATTAATTCATAGTTTGCTGGAATTGATCATATTTTGAGTCATTTGCGATTCTTCATCTGTTTCTAAGCTTCAGAGAAGGAGCTGGACTTTCTCCCAATTACTGCTGATTTCTTTTGACAAATTCGCAGATTTCCCCTTGAATTATTTGTATTCAAGATCAAATTTTATTTTATTTAAAAAAAAGCTTGGATTGGTTAGTGGATTGAAATACAAATTGACAATGTTAATTCTGGTTGACTATTTAGCATATTTAATAGATAAGGCTTTTATTTACTGTGAAGCTGATACTGATATTTTTTTGCCTAATTAATAAAAACCACAGGTTCTTACTAATGGCATAGAAGTGAAACTACAAAGAAATGCACTCAGCGTAATTGAAGCACCTACTGGTAATGAAGTATAACGGATCAGACATGGGTTAGTTCTTTTCTTTTGAAATTCTCAGCAGTGGAAAAGATATTTTGTTTACTTGTGTCGTCGATTATTCGAGCAGTGCTGTGTGTTAGACCGTTCTGCCTCGGATGGTAGTTCTATGCTTATCATCCTTAATGGCTTTTGATCTCTAGATATACTTAATTTTGTGATCAACCATTCAGGCGTAAGATTTTGGATGATAATTTATTTGCAGTGAAATGTGGTTGAAGAAATTAGGGAAGAATACATTATCCAAATAGTGATTGACAATGAGGCAGCAATGAAAGTCGCTAGGAAAAGATTAATGTTGAAAAGAAACCATGTTTATTGGACCTAATGTGCAGCTCACTACTTAGATTTATGTCTTGAGGATATTAGAAAAAAGTCTAGTGTAGCAAAAGTATTAGAGGAAGCGAAAAAAGTGACATGCTTCATATATAATCACATTTGGACCGTTGATTTGATGAAGAAGTATACTCACGATAAGAAAATTCTTTGCCCTGCCCTTATTCGATTCGCTCCTCATTTCATACAGCTTGTGGAGATAACAAGACAAAAAAAGGTTTTAGAGAGATGTTTAAGTCAAAGGTCATTATTTTATAATTAGTTAATACATTTACTGATTACTCAAATATAACAATATTTAATGATTTTATTAATTTCAATTTTTAAATAAGTTAAATTATGTTATAGATTTTTTCTTATTAAACTTTAGGAATTCAGAGAATCAAAATGGGGACAACAGAAATCAAGGTCTGTTTATGAAGCCAAAAAAATTGTTTTGGGAAAAGATTTTTGGAAAAAAACCGTTGATATCATAAAAGTCTACGAACCCTTAGTCAAAGTTGTAAGGCTTGTTGGTTTTATTTATAAAGCCGTTGATAGAGCTAAACGAGCAATTAAGGAAAATTGTCGATATTCCATCGAGTATGAAAGAATTATTGACAATAGATGGAATTTTATGCATTCCGACTTGCATTCCGCTGGTAAGATAAAATATATCATATAATTAAGAGTTGTTTTTTATTTTTTATTTTAAGTTTTATAATTTATATTATTATCATTTGAGCATAAATTATGATTAGGTTATTTTCTCAATCCTCAATTTCAATTTGGGGTGGAGCATTCTAAGAATGTATTAGCACAAACATTAGAAAGAACAAGATCAGTGATTGAAATATTAGAACAATCTATTGATAATCAAATCAAAATGGTTAATCAGATTAGATTCATTCAAGTACTATTATTTCTAACTTAGTTAAATAATTTGAAATTGAAATATTATTATCATTTTGATGTTAGTTTGAAATTTAAATAATATTATCCAGCTGAGTGGTGGATGATATATGACACATGTACTCCTGACTTACAAAGATTAGCAATTAAAGTGCTTAGTCAAACAACTTATGCATCAAATTATGAACGAAATTGGAGCACATTTAGCTATATTCACACCAAAGCAAGAAATAGGTTGAAGTACAAAAACTTGAGAAACTAGTGTTTACCTATTATAATATGAGACTTAAAATGAGGCATAAAAAAGAACGAGCATCGATGATATAAACGCTAGTTACAATCCTATCAGCCTTGATCATATCATTGAAGATGTTGATCCACTATCAAAATCGCTTCAAGAGAAAGAGAATCCATTATTAGATGGTGAAAATGCTGGTGTGTTGCCTGTGGATACCTCAAATGATGAAATGAATGTTAATGATCAATCTCAACAACAAAATTTATCTCATTAAAGTTCTAGTGCAACACCAAGTCAAAGTGGTAATGGGACCGATGGTGATGCCAATTGATGACGATGATAGACAGAGTGCTGATAGAGCTGAATTTAGATCTTCTGATCGGTATGGAGAAGAATATGTTTATACCTGTAGTGGACATTTCCATCATAGGTCAGAATTCGAAGGAAATATGTCTGTTGCATCTAGTAGAGAAAGAAGTGAACCAAGAGCTCGATCAAAAGGAAAAGGGAAAGACACAAAAAAACATACTTCTGAAGGTTCTTCTTCCGATAGAAGATCGACTTCTAGTAACCCTGAGTATAACAATTCATCTACTGGCACTCATGGTTTTTATCCACAGGGACAATCTTCATATTTTCAACCTTCACATGGTTTTTATCCACCATTTCCTAATTATGGTGTGCCATACAAATGTACCCTTAGCCACCAATGTATCACCCACCTCCACCTCACATGTGTCCTCCTTCTCAAGTATATCCTCCATCTCAATTATTTGAAAATCAAGGTGAAAATGTTACATTTTTTTTGATATATTTTTGGAAAAAGACCACAGAGATCAAGTGGAGAGAACTCTCAAGTGAAGGTGAAGGATATGATATTCCTCGTTATTCCACTAATTGGTAAAACTGCTACCACCCCATTTCTAAGGTATGTTTGGCCTACCAAAAGAAGCTATGTTTCTATGACATTTAATTAGTTAGCATTTTTTTAAGTATTGTACATCTTAACATAGTTAGGTTACATGAGATATGTGTTGTTTTAATTATTGTACATCGTACTTTTATGCTCTTGCTTTAATGAAGATTGTTTTCTTACTATAATTATTGCATGAGGTATGTATTGTTCTTTTTGCTTACATTTGAGATATACATTGTTAATATATATATACATTATTATTGAGTTTTTCAGTGAATGATAACTCTTTGATAAAATGGTAAATAATTTCTTATCTCATAGTTATAGCAAAACTTATATTTATCCATTTTAATTTACTAGATTTTTCCTATGTTGATAGTCTTATTTCTTTTAAATAATAATGTATTCACAATGTCATCGTTAATTAATTATTTTATCCTATCATCGGATTTTTAAAGTCTTCTATTTAGTTAAATTATATTATATATGTCAATTTCGCTTAGAAAACATTTTAAAAATCTTTAAAAATGTTTCTTTATAATTATAATTATTTTTATTATGTTTTAAGATAAGTTATACAATATTTAAAAAATTTCACGACCGCGACACCCGCAGTGAACACGATGACATTCGTTATGTCTGCAAACGCGACTGAAAACGTGACCGCAAACGCTATTTAAAACTCATGAGCTAAAAATTATCAAGTTCAACTCGAACTCGAAATATAATATTGAAACTTGAACTCGAAAAGGCTTGAGCTAAAAAAAAATTAGAAGCTCGATTGAAGCTTAAAATTTGAGCTTGATTGAAGTGAAAGAATAGTTCACTCAATGCTCACCAAAAGGCTCCATGATTTTGAATGCCAAATTACATCTATTATTTATAGAAGTTAGTTGGGATCCTCTTCTATGTTTCTTAGCCATGTGGGATTGTTTTGTTCTCATATTTTTACTCTTTAGACTTTTGGGATGCTGTTCTATGTTTCTTAGCCATGTGGGATTGTTTTAAAAAAAATTAAACTAAACAATATCATTTTGTTATGATTCTTTTTGCCCCAAATTTATTTTTTAATTATAGTTATATAATTATATTTATTATTTAATATGTTTTACCTTAAATATTATGCTGTAGTTAACTTGAATCATTTTGTTTCATTTGATTTTATGGTTTTTAACTTATATATGACTTACTTTGAATATGACTTGTGATATAAAAAATTATTTTTTATTAAATATTTTTGGTATTTTTATTTAATTTTTTAAATAATTATGACGTCGTCCGGTTCTTCCGACCGGTCAGACCGGTTCGACCGGTTGAACCAGTGAACCTGTAGCATGACCGGTTCGCTAACCGGTCCGGTTCTGAAAACCATGTTTTATGGAGATATTGGTGACACTTCAATCTTGTAAGTGTTTTCATGGAGAAACATATTGGCACATTTATAACAAAAGGAAAAGGAAATTGTTTAAATGTCATTCCCTTTGCCATTGTTAGGTGGATGTTATCCCCAATCCATCAAATGAGCAACCAGTCGATGCTCTTCAGAGGCATTTCGTGTCACAGGTAACTTTTTTCCTCTCCTCTTCGGACAGGAATAGATCCGACAATTTCAGAACAAATTCGAATTACATGATGTAATTTGTGTGTTTCTTGGTGTGGCAAATGGATGAGCTGCAGGTCATTGTGGGATTTGTTCAGGCTGCAAAGAGATTGTAGACTGTTTGCAAATGACCCGGATAAGAATGTCGAGTTCGGCTGTCGACGCTAACAGAAACTCTATATCCTAGTTGGATGTCTGTAATATAGATGGTGTTCGTGGCTTGTTTATCTTCCTAGTGGCGCAGTTAATAATTACTTGAAGCTGCTATAGAGGTTGTTTCTTCCTTTTAGGTAGATTAGTTTATAATGTAGATATGGCGTAGAACTTGGTTACAAGAACTTGTAAGAAATCCATGCGACTAAATGTACCTCTTAACTTGGTGAAGTGGATTTCTGGAAATTGTCACGGGGCTAGACTGCTGCTAGCAAGCTCGTGCGGCCTTAGTCGTTTTCGAGGTCGAAACTCGGCTAAGTAACCCAAACCTTCACTAAGCGAGAATGCTTAGAACGTTGCAAAAATAAAGGAAATGGGAAAAATAGAGAGATGGGCGCTCAAATGGAGAAGAGAGAGTTTAGAGTGAATGCTAACTTGTATTCCTCAATCTGAAGTGAGTAAATGAGGTGGGGGTGAGCCTCCTTTTATAGTTGGAGCCCCCTACAATCAACGGTTAAGATTAAATTACATCAACGGTCAGAAAAGAGCCCTACTCTATCTATAACTCTAAATTAAATAATAATTAGTGGGAATTATCTCTAAGATAATTTCAAATAATTATCATGCCTCTTCTCTCTCCAAGGTGGATGGGCCAGCTCTGCTGGGTCTTCTAGAAGGCCCAAAACGTGGCAAAGATAGTCTCTGGCAGCCTTGAACGAACTGGGCTCGGTCTTGGGCTGGCAGTCTGTGACATTCTCCCCCACTAGTTCTAGCGACGCCCTCGTTGCGCGACTAGAGTGAAACTGGTCAATCTTATCTCGGAATTGCCACAAGGCTTCGGAAGGTTCCCAACTTCCCTCACTCTCCGGAAGTCCCTTCCACTGAACAAGGTATTCATGCCTTGGTCGTTTTCCCACTCCATGAACGGCTCTCTCTGCGTGGATAGCTTCTACTTCTCTCTATGAGACCTTTACCCCGACTGGCGCTCGGTGTGACTTGCCTCGATCTAGCTCCTCCTCATCCTGATGGTATGGCTTTAACAAACTCACATGGAACACCGGATGAGCTTTGATGGTCGAAGGCAACTCCAATTTGTAGGCCATGGTGCCTACTCGCTTCAAAACTTTGAATGGCCCCTCGTATCTTCGCACAAGCCCTTTGTGATATGGGTTGCGCAAGATACCACTTAATTTGGCAAGGACTTGGTCACCAACCTCAAAGTTTACATCCCGACGCTTTCGATCTGCCCACTTCTTGGTTCGCTTCCCGGCCTTGTGCAAACAAGCTCGGGCTAGTTCATGTTGTTCTTGCCACTCCTTGGCAAATTGGTATGCTGTTGGATTTGGCCCTTGGTACCCAGTCACAACCGCATTTGGTGTAAGCGGCTGCTGCCCGATAACAATCTCAAATGGACTCTGATTGGTCGCTTCACTCCTCTGCAAATTGTAGGAAAACTGGGCTACATCCAACAATTTTGGCCAGTCACGTTGCGTGGCACTCACATAGTGCCTCAAGTAGGTCTCTACGAGTGCATTCACTCTCTCGGTTTGCCCATCCGTCTGGGGATGAACACTCGTCGAGAAGTTCAAGCTTGATCCCATCAACTTGAACAACTCCTTCCAGAACCTCCCAGTAAACCTTGTGTCCCGATCACTGATAATCGTCTTTGGAACACCCCAATACTTCACCACGTACTTGAGGAAAAGACGAGCGGCCTCCTTGGCTGGACAAACTTTGGAAGCTGGAATAAAAGTCCCATACTTGGAAAATCTATCCACCACGACCATGATGCTAGAAAATCCATCAGAAACAGGCAAACCAACAATGAAATCCATGGAAAGACTTTCCCATGGTTTCTCGGGGATAGGCAGAGGCTGCAACAATCCAGCTGGTCTCCTTTGCTCTATCTTGTCTTGCTGGCACACAAGACAGGTCTTCACATAGGCTTCGACATCATTGCCCATGTGCGGCCAATAATAGTGCTCCGCTATCAAGGCCAAAGTCCGGTGGATCCCCGGATGTCCCGCCCACTTGGAATCATGGCATTCCCTCATGAGCTCCTTTCGCAATCCTTCAAATTGTGGCACATAGAGGCGGTGTCCTCGAGCATACAACAAGCCTCCATCTAGCCAAAACTTTCTAGTCTTGCCCCCCTTGGCAAGCTCAATCAATGAAGGGGCTATCGGATCATGTGACAACCCCTCTTTGATGCGCTCCCGCAACTGTCCCGTCGGCAAACTCACAAACTCCATGTCACACCTTCGGCTTAAGGCATCGGCCACGGAATTCACTTTCCCAGGTTTGTGCTCCAAGGACATGTCAAACTCGGCAAGGAACTCTTGCCAACGAGCTTGCTTCGGTGACAACTTCTTCTGGGTTAAGAAGTAACTGTTGGCAACATTGTCTGTAAACACCACGAACTTGGACCCAAGTAAGTAATGTCGCCATGTGCGTAAACAGTGCACAACTGCAGTCATCTCTTTCTCATGGACCGTGTATCTCCTCTCGGTCTCATTGAGCTTCCGGCTTTCATAAGCAACCGGATGTCCCTCTTGCATCAGGACCCCACCAATGGCAACGTCGGATGCATCGGTGAAAACTTCAAAGGGCTTGGTGTGATCTGGCAACACCAAAACTGGCTCGCTTATCATAGCAAGCTTGATTTCATCAAAGGCACTTTGACACTTCGGGCCCCAATCCCACGCCTTGTCTTTCTTCAATAACTCGGTTAAGGGGGCTGCGATTTTTGAGTAACCTTTGACAAACCTCCGGTAATAGTTGGCCAACCCCAGGAATGATCTCAGCTCCGTCACCTTGGTTGGCACTTGCCATTCATCAATGGCTCGAACCTTGTCCCTATCCATCCAGATCTTGCCACCTCCAATAATGTGGCCAAGGAAAGGAACCTCCGTTTTGGCGAATGAGCACTTTTCCTCTTTGACAAAGAGCTCGTTCTCTCGCAACACCAGAAACACTTGCTTCAAGTGTTCAACATGCTCCTCCAACGTCTTGCTGTAAATGACGATGTCGTCGAGGTAGACAACAACGAATCGATCCAGAAAAGGTTGCAACACCTTGTTCATCAGGGTGCAGAAAGTGGCTGGAGCATTCGTGAGGCCAAAGGGCATCACAAGGTATTCATACGAACCGTACCTAGTCACGCAGGCTGTCTTCGGTTCATCTCCCTCGGCTATCCTGACTTGGTAATAGCCCGATCGCAAATCCAACTTGGTGAACCACCTTGCACCACCAAGCTGATCGAACAAGTCCGCAATGAGAGGAATCGGGTACTTGTTCTTCACCGTGAGCTTATTCAAAGCCCGGTAATCGATGCACATCCGCAAAGAACCATCGTGCTTCTTTTGAAATAGCACTGGGGCACTATAGGGGGACTTGGATGGTCGGATGTACCCGGCATCGAGTAGATCCTTCAACTGTCTGCGCATCTCCTCCAACTCGGGCGGAGCCATTCGGTAAGGAGCTCGAGCGGGTGGCTCCACATTCGGCACAAGCTCAATCTTGTGATCCACCTCCCTCTTTGGAGGCAACTTCTTAGGCAACTCGGCAGGCATCACATCTTGGAATTCTGCCAACACGTGGCTCACCACGTCAGGAACTTTCTTGGTTGTGGTTGGCTCCTCACACACCAAGACAGCTAAGAAGGACGGTTCCTCCTTGCGCACCGCCTTCGAGAATTGAATTGCGGATAGAACTTTGGCCCCTACTCCGGGCCCTCGGCTCACTGGAACAATGCACTGTTGCTTTGGATCCAGGATGCACAAACAATCGGCAAAAGGTACTGGGAAAGCATTGATTCGGTCCAAGAAACTTAACCCGAGCACGAAGTCGAAGTCATCAAGAGGAATCACCTTGATGGCTTCCGTTCCGGACCAACCTCCAACAGTTAACTCAATTCCCTTTGCGACCCCCGCAATCGGAACCTCTTTGGCGTTGACGGTCTTGATAGAACCACAAGCCTTCTCGACATAAAGACCAAGTCTCTTGGCAACGGGTTCTGACATGAACAACTCGGAGGCACCGGTGTCCACTAGTGCACTCAATTTCTGGCCAGCAATGGTGATGTCAACGAACATCAACCCTTTTTTCTTTCGACCCTTCTTGACCTCCATGGTGCTAAGGATGGATCCAAGCTTTAGAGTCTCACTCTCCTCCCCATCTTTCTCCTTGATGGCCGAGAGTTTATTCTTCTGCGGACAGTCCCTCGCCAAATGCCCTTGGCCCTTGCAGTTGTAACACTGGATAATTTGCTTGTCTTTCTTATCCGAGTGCTTACCATTCGAGGGCTTCCCATTGCCACTCGAATCTTTGTCGGATTTGGATGCCTTGTCCCTATCACCACTGCTACCTCGGAACTTCGGTTTTGGTTTGGAGTCCACCTTCTTGACGCCAAGCTCAATGATTGACTCGGCCGTCGTCAAGGCAACCGAGAGCTCCTTAACTCCTCGTCGCCTTAGCTCGTTCTTCGCCCATGGTTTCAACCCATCCATGAAGGTGAAGAACCCGTCCTCTTCACTCAAATTTGGGACTTGGAGCATTAGTTCGATAAACTTTCGAACGTGCTCCCTCAGTGACCCTTCTTGCTTGAGACGCCTCAACTTGGATCGCGCCTCATCCTCAGCATACTCTGGGTAGAACTGTTCCTTGAACTCAGCTTGGAATTCTACCCAGGTCTCGATGGCAGCGTTCCCACGCTTCACATCGTTGCATCTGCGTCGCCACCACATGAGGGCGACCTCCGACAAGTAAACACTAGCGATGCTTACTTTCTTGGCATCCTCTGTGATGCCCGTGGCTGCAAAGTACTGGTCCAACCCCCAAAGGAAATTCTCAACATCCTGGGCGGACCTGGTTCCTTTGAACTTCTCCGGTTTAGGGATGTCACCCAAGGCTTTGGGTGCAACCGTGGCTACGCTATTCCCGAACGCAGCTTTACACACCAATAACTCGGTCTTGAGCAACTCGACCTCCCTCTTTAGCTCGACCACCTCAGA